CCGCTAACTTGGAGCATGTGCATGTAAAATTTTTGGGCAAATCGTCGAAAATTGCGGCCGTGCATTCACACACACACACACACACACACACACAAATAAATGCCTTTTATATATATATATATATATATATATATATATATATATCATGTTTATTTCAAATCCAAATTATTTTTTTTTTTAAATTAAAAAAAAAATATATATATTATAATAAAATATAATTTTTTAATTATTTAGTGTCACCTCAAGCAAGGCAGCCATTAAAATTGAAAGTTTGTTTTTTTGAGGCATATCAACCTCAATGGGTTATTTAATGCCGACAAAATTTTTTTTTGATAATATGTTTTTCCTCATAAATTATCTCTGGGAATATTTTTTCTATAGTTTGGTCATATTTTTTTTCAAAGAATGTATAAATGTTTGTATTTGGTACTTTTTTTTTTAAAGTATTGCTGATAATAAATATAATATTCAAAAAAATTATTGCTGGTAATATTTTTTTACAAAAGAATTTCTGGTATTAAAACCTATTTTTTACACAAGAAAATGGTGTAATCTTTCATTTGCCCATAGCTGGGACCCTAACAGGTGCTACCACCCTGGGTCAGGGTGATTGGGAACACCATGCAATTAAGAGGTGGTAAATTCGCTCCTCAAAACCTCACAATCAGAGGCCTTTGCTGGACGTAGTTTATCGTCTTACCCAAATGCGAATGGAAAATCAGGACGGAGTAGAAAGAGGAAAGAGTAATCAGGAGGAAAGTAGATAGCGATTGACATTGCATTTAAATTTCCAGGGCAGATTAAAGTTGGCTGGAAATCATGGATTAATCGAAGGGTTTCCATAGTCGAAAAGTGAGAGAAAAGAAATTTTTAGCATAGAATTTTACGGCTACAAATAGCCAGTATAACAGTAAATTGATTGACCTAAATTTGGGAATAATCGAAATTAATTTTGAAATCCACTAAAGTCACCCATGAAATAAAAAAAATAATTGTTTGTACGGAAAGTAAGGACCTACGTACATCAAATTGTCTTTAAATTAAGTGGCGACAGAAGAATTATCGTTGAACTTTTAAAAGTTTTTTAAATATTAATGCAATACTTAAATGCAGCGATCAATTTTGAGTTCTTCTGTAGTTTATTGTTGCCTATCGCATACCTCAAATACAATATGAACTGCAAAAGAAATCTCTACCAACAGAGGACCTGATTGCAATTTGAAAAAATGTCACCCGTAATAGGACGAAAAGAAAGTCCCGATCAAAGAAAAGGCAATTTTTAGAGTTTCCAATGCTAAGAATTCGAAAGACTTAGGGGTGTTTCAATTTTTTTGAACAAACGAATTTCAATGAAAATTTCGACGAGGCGGCTTTTAAAAAAAATATACATCCCACGGAAAATTTAATTCCGGTCGAGCACTCTTGGAAGAATGCGCGAGTTTGTAAACAATGATAACTATTATACAAAATTAATACTATTTGTATAATTTCTGATATGAATTAATCCTTCGGTCATTAAGTCAATTCGAAGTTTAAATATTTAACATTAGTTTTCTCTCAAATGGGTATGATATAATAAAGTAGATAGGTTTCAATAGAAAAGGCAATTGGATGTCTAATATACAATGATGATGGTTTGTCTTGCATCGAACTTAGTAAATGTTTGAATGACTATATATATATATATATATATATATATTATATATATATATATATATATATATATATATAAATAAATATCAAAAATTAATCATCAGAAATATTTTTTTACTTCCTTGACTAAAAAAAAAAAGTGCCCCCTATTTTTTATTTCAATTGCTTATTAATCAACCCAGTTTTGATGGGAATTAAAAATCAACATTGAAATTGACGAATGCAGCTATATTAATTTTATATATATATATATATATATAAATATATATATATATATATAAAATTGTTTTGTTTATGTTTGTTTTGTTTGAAGATGAAGATTCGCTTGAGGTTTAAAATTGATAGTCATTAAAAATGTTCATTTTAGAAAATAAAAAACACGTTTACAAACAAATATCGCTATATGCATTCTTCACTGTCCAAAACGAAATCATGTTTCATCATTACTATTTTATAAAAATATAAAATAAAAATCTTTATTTGTTTTGTTTTTTTAAAATATCCATTTACGTAAACATATTCTTTAGACTTTTGATAAAAAATCCTGGTAAAAAAATCAAATGTCCTGTTGTGTTCTTTCTCCAAATTTTTTTAAGAATTTTGTTTCCAGAAAATGAAAAAGTCTTATTTCGTGCCTATTTTCCTCATAAATTCCGCCTTCCTCACATGTTATGTCTATGGTATTCTCACCATTCTTCTGTCATATTTCTGTTGCTGAAAGTCTTCTCTTTATCTGTGAAGAAATTGTCCAAAATTCATTGCCATTTAGGAGGATTGATATTGCGTAAAACTTCCGTATTTTTTTGTTTTTTAACCTTTTTTGCTTTTAATATTTAATACATTGATTAGTTTCTGGAAAGCTTTTTTTCGCAACCCCAATGCGCCTTTGGACATCGGGCTAGAACCACAGTAGTATCTGTTCACTTTCTCTTTAGTGGAAATGGTAATATTAGCCGTTTCCTTATAAGGAAACATTCGGTATTTATCATCTAACAGCTAGTGCTAATTGAGTCACGCTTTTCTTCAATCCCTGGCCATTGTGCTGGGATGAAAGTATTGTATCTGTTTTTCTAATACCTAAAGTTAATGGTAATAATAGCCGTTTCCTTATAAGGAAACACTCAGTGCTACTGGAGTTAGTTTTCTTTACTCCTTGGCCATCGGACAAAGATCAAAGTGTAGTAACTGTTCTCCTTACCTCTCTCGTCAAAAAAAATATAAAGCATTACAAACTTTTAAGGAAACATACCATTTATCTCCCGAACAGCCAGTGCTACAGGTGTTTACCTTTTCTTTATTCCCACTGGACAAATATCAAAGTGTAGAATCTGTTTTATTTTCATTTCTAATGAGTAATGATAATATTAAAATTTTCAATAATCGGTATTTTTCTTCACTTTTAAATTTCAAATTTAAGTTAATCTTTTGCATTCATTAAATGGCCATCGGAAAATATCAAAGTGTAGTATCTGTTTTGGATATAAGGCCAAAATGGCGTTAAAGATCAAAGTGTAGTAACTATTTTAGATATAAGGACAAAATGGCGTCAAAGATCAAAGTGTTTATAAGAATTTTAATAAAGGACAAAAATTTTGGACAAAGTTAAAAAATTAGTATCTGTTTTGGATATAAGGACAAAATGGCGTCAAAGATCAAAGTGTAGTATCTGTTTTAGAAAAAAATTACAAAATAAATTCAAAGATCAAAATTAATTTTTATATGTTTTTTGTTATGAAAGGAAAAAATGTCAAATTAAAAAAATTTTGGTATCTGTTTTTCATCTAAGAACAAAATGGCGTCAAATATCAAAGTGTAGTACCTCTTTGGGATATAAGGACAAAATGGCGTCAAAGATCAAAGTGTAGTATCTGTGTTTTATATAAGGACAAAATGGCGTCAAAGATCAAAGTGTAGTAGCTGTTTAGGTTAGAAAATGGCGTAAAGACATCAGGGTGCCGCAGGAATTTGATTTCTTCCCACATCGAATTAATTCTGTTTCCTGCTGTCGATGTATAATTATTGCCACGAAAAATATTTTATCATCTAATGAAGCTAGAATGAAAAATAAACGGTTTTTGTTGATAAAATCTATGCACTAGCGTTGAGGCCCAGCGACAACATGGAAGGAAAGACTATTTTGTTCAGATATGTTATGTCTAAATAAAAACATGAAAGCGAAAAAAGGGATTCTTCTTTAATTATGTTTCATTTGTTCTTTCAAAAAAATTAAGAATTTGAGATTTCATCTTCGCAACAAAAATGAAAAGGATACAAATCCATCAAAATTAAGAATTTATAATCCCACAACAAAACATTTCACCATTTCAGGATGTTACGTTTCAACGAGCTTACATTTTTATCGAATATTGCCATTCTAATGACAGATCCCAAATTTGCTGGATCAGAGGATTAAACAGAACCATTTGATTTTTTTCTTTCCGTATTCTTCAAAGAGAATAAATAAATATTTGGTTGGTTGTAAACATATCTAGGATGTACACAAGAAAAAAAGTTTTGATTAATTTTTTAAAATTACGTAGAAAGGAAGAAAGAAAAAAAGGGAAAAAAAGAGAAGAAAAAAGAATTTAGGAAAAGAAAGAAGGACAAAGAAAGATTTTAAGAGGAAAGAAGAAATTTATTTTGAAAGAAAAAAAAATGGAAAGAAAAAGAAGGAAAAGAAAGAGAGAAAAAGTAACAAGAAAAGGGAAGAAAAAGAAGGGGAATGCCAATAGACAGAGGAAAGAAAAAATTTTAAACAAAGAAAAAAAAAAGAAAGAAAAAGAGAAAAAAAAAAAGGAAGAAGCAAAGAGGGGAAGATAGGAAAGGAAAATTGAGGGAAAAGAAGAAAGAAACAAAGAAAAATCAAGGAAAAAGAAAGAAAAAAAAGAAAAAGAAAAAAAAAAGGGGGGGAAATGGATAGAAAGAAAAGGGAAAAGAAAATCGAAAGAAAAAAGGAAAAGAAAGAAAAAAAAGATAAAAAGAAGAATGAAAAGCAGATGGGAAGAAAAAGGAAAAGAAAAGACAAAAGTTTTCTTAAACAAACAAAGAAAAAAAGGAAAAAGAAAGAAAAAAAAATTTAAGAAGGAAAAAAAGAGGGCAAAAGAAAAGAAGAGAACAGATGAAGAAGAAAAAAAAACAAAAAAAAAGTAAGAAATAAAAAAAAAAGAAAGAAGGAAGACCATTTTTAAAAAGACAAAAAAAAGATGAATGAGGGAAGAAAAACAAAAAAAAAAAAGAAGGAAAACTTAAAAAAAAAAGGAAGAAAGAGAGGGGGGAAAAAAATAAAGCATCTTTAGGGAAGAAAGAAGAAAAAACAAAGAAAAAAAGAATAGAAAGAAAGAAAAAAACTAAGAAGAAGAAAGAAAAAAATGAGGGGAGAAAAAAAAAAGAAGAGACAGAGGAATTAAAAGAAAAGAAAAAAAAAAAAAAAAGAAAGAAAAGAGAAAAAAAAAGAAGGAAGAGATATAAAAGATATGAAAAAATAATAAATGAAAAAGAAAAACAAAAAAAAAAAAGAAAGGAAAAAGAAAAAAGAAAGAAATAAAAAAAGGAAATAAAAGAGGGGAAGAGAAAATAAAAAGAAGGGAAAAGAAGAAAAAACAAAGAAAAAGAAAAAAAAAAAAAAAAAGAAGAAGAAGAAAATGAAAAAAAAGAGGAAAAAAGAAAGAAAAGGGAAGAAGAAAAAAGAAAAAAAAGAAGGAGAAAGAAAAGAAAAAAAAAGGGAGAAAAAGAAAGAAAGGGAAGAGGAAAGAAGAAACAGGGAAAAAAAACAAAAAAAGAAAAAAGAAAAGAAAAAAGAAGAAAAAAAGAAGGAAGAAAAGAGGGGGAAGAAAAGAAAGAAAAAAAAGGGAAGAAGAAGAAAAACAAAAAAAAAAGAAAGAAAGAAAGAAAGAAAAGAAGAAAGGAAAAAAAAAAGGAAAAGAATAAAAGAAGAAGAAAAGAAAAAAAAAAAAAAAGAAAAAAAGAAAAAAGAAAAAAAGAAAGAAAAAAAAAAAAGAAAGAAGAAAAAAAGAAAAGAGGAAAGAAAAAGAAAGGGGAAGAAAAAAGAAAAAAAAAAAAAGAAAAAAAAAAAAAGAAAAGAAAGAAGGAAGAAAGAAGGAAAAAGAAAAGAAAAAAGACAGAGGGAAGAAAAGTTCTTGAAAAAAAAAGAAAGAAGGAGAAAGAAAAGAGAGAAAAAAGAAGGAAGAAGCAAGAAGGGAAGAGGAAAAAGAGACAGAAAAAGAAAGAAACAAAGAAAAAAAAGGAGAAATAAAGAGAAAAAATAAGAAGGAAAAGAAGCGGGGAAGAGGAAAGAAAGAAAGAGGGAAGAAAAAAAACAAACAAAAAAAAAAAAAAGAAAAAAAAGAAAGAAAAGAAGAAAAAGCAGAGAGGGGGAAGAGGAAAGAAGAGACAGAGGGGAAGAAGAAACAAACAAAGAAAAAGAAGGAGAAAGAAAGAGAGAAAAAGAAGAAGGAAGAAGCAGAGAGGGGGAAGAGGAAAGAAGAGACAGAGGGGAAGAAGAAACAAACAAAGAAAAAGAAGGAGAAAGAAAGAGAGAAAAAGAAGAAGGAAGAAGCAGAGAGGGGGAAGAGGAACCTTTAAGACAGAAAAAAGAAGTTAAACAAAGAAAAGGAAAAAAAAGAGAAAAGAAGAAGGAAGTCTTTCAAATTTTAAAGAGGAAAGAAGAGACAGAGAAAAAAAAAACAAAAAAAGAAAAAGAAAAAAGAAAGAGAGAAAAAGAAGAAAAAAAAGAAAGGGGGAAGAGGAAAAAAGAGACAGAGGGGAAAAGAAACAAACAAAAAAAAGAAGGAGAAAGAAAAAAGAAAAAAAAGAAGAAGGATTCAGTTTAGAAAAAGAAAGGAAAGAAGAGGGAAGAGGGGAAGAAGAAAAGAAACAAAGAAAAAGAAGGAGAAAGAAAGAGAGAAAAAGAAGAAGGGAGAAGCAGAGAGGGGGAAGAGGAAAGAAGAGACAGAGGGGAAGAAGAAAGAAACAAAGAAAAAGAAGGAGAAAGAAAGAGAGAAAAAGAAAAGAAAAGGAGAAATTGTTAAAAACACAACGAACAAAAATATAATGAAGGAAGGAGAAAACGAAAAATTTGAAAGAAACGGAAAAGATAAAAAATGGAATGAAATTAAAGAACGGGTGAAGAAAGCAAAGGAAAGAAAAATACGAGAAAACTAGAAAGAAAGAAAAACACAATTATCTAAGCAAGCAGAAAGAAAGAAAACGATAGTGAAAGAAAGAAATCAGTAAAAAAAGAAAGAAAAAAAAGAAAAAAACAGTAATTAAATAAAAAAATAAAAGACAGAAACGAAAAGAAAAAAGAAAAGAAAGACAATAAAAGCAAGAAAAGCGAGAAAGAAAGTAAAAATCAAGAACAAATGAATGGAACAAAAAAATTGATTGCTTGATTTATTTCTTACGGATTATCAACCCTTTGTGCGATGATTAAGGCTGAAACACTATCCAGATTTAAAAATAAATCTCATTTTTAACTAGCAGTAGAGCCCAGCGTTGCCCGGGGATGTAACAGTAAGAGATAGATCAAGTATCGACCATCATAAAGACTGAAAAATAAAATTGACAAAGATTATTGTTTAAGGTTGACGGACACGCATGTCTTAATTAGTTTTTTTTTTTTTTTGGTCAAACCCAAACTCAAACAAAAACATTGTTTTCAATCGTTATGAGTCTACCGATTGAATAGAATTTTATTATAAACAATTGTCTTGTAAATGGAATTTTTAAAGCATTCTGAATGTAAAAAAAAAAAAAAAAGTTTGCAAGACAATAAGAAACACTACCTGCCAAAAAAAGTGAAGTTTTGTTGAAATCAGTTGAAAAAATGTAGGAAATCCGATCCACACATATAAATGAACACACACACAACAACCTGGGTTTTATAATAAGTATAATTCGATATGAGTTGTCCCCTTTCATTCTGGTGACGCCTCTTAATTGTGTTTTCAAATTGATTTCGCAAAAAAACAATTGTGTTTTTTCAATTTTTGGCGCTGTCAGAACCACCGCAAGGTAATTTTACGCAGTCCTGTGAAGTTTTGTTGAAATCGGTTGAAAAATGTAGGAAATCCGATCCAATATATAAACGTACACACACACACACACACAACCTGGGTTTTATAATAAGTATGATTATTTGCGAATGAATAGTGTTTGAGAAGTACAACGATTCTTCTAGAGACAAGTTTTACTATTAAACCCATAGCTTAGGAAGCAGAAGGATTTATAGCTTTACAAAGGGTATTTTTGCAAATAAATGAATGTAATGTATCCGACAGATATTCGAAATTGTCTCTTCGATTTCTCAGAAGCAAACAAGGAAAAAGGAAGAGAGAGAAAAAAGAAGGAAAAGCGAGAGAAAAATAAGAAGGAAAGAATGAAGTAGTGAAAGAAAGAAAAAAGAACGGCAGAAAGAAAGAAACAAAGGATAGAATACAATAGAAAGAAAGATTTTTCGTCAAAAAAAGAAATTAAAGTGAAAAGAAAAAATAAAAAGATTGTTAAATGAAAAGTTGAAAGAAAGAAAGAAAAAATTGAATATTGAAAAAGAAAGAAATATAAAGAAAAGAAAGAATAAAGGAAAAGAAAAAAAAAGAAAGAAAGAAAAAATAAACTGAAAGAAAGAAAGAAATAAAGGAAAAAAGAACTTTTCTTTGAAAAAAGAAAGAAAGAATTGAAAGAAAGAAAGAAAGAAATTAATGGAAAGGAAAGAAAGAAAGAAAGAAATTTGTACAAAGAAGGAAAAGAAAGAAAGAAAGAAAGAAAGATTAAAGAAAAAGAAAAGAATGAAATATAAGGGAAAAAGAAAATATAGAAAAGAAATAAAAGAAAGAAAGAAAAAAAAAAAGAAAGAAAAAAGAAAGAAAGTCACTGGAAAAAAAAAGAAAGAAAAAAGAAAGAAAGAAAGAAAAAAAGAAAAGAATAAGAAATAAAAGGGAAAAAAATAAAAGAATCTGAAAGAAAGAAAGAAAGAAAAAAAAGAAAGAAAGAAAGAAAGAAAGAAAAAAAAAGAAAAGAAAGAAAGAAAAAAAAAGAAAGAAAGAAAGCCAAAAGAAAAAAGAAAGAAAGAAAAATTAAGGGTAAAAAAAAGAATTTTTCGAAAAAAAAAAAAAAGAAAGAAAGAAAGAAAAAAAAAGAATAAAGGAAAGAAAAAAAAAGAAAGAAAGAATAAAATAAAAAAGAAAAGAGAAAAAGAAAGAAAAGAAATTAGGGAAAAAGTAGGCCTCGCTGAAAAAAAAAAAGAAAGAAAGAAAGAAAGAAAGAAAGAAAAGAAAGAATAAAAAAAAAAAAAAAAGAAAGAAAGAATAAATATAAAAGAAAGAAAGAAAGAATAAAGGAAAAAAAGAAAGAAAGAAAGAAAGAAAAAGATAAAAAAAAATTTTGAAAGAAAGAAAGAAAAGAAAGAAAGAAAGAAAGAAAGAAAAAAGAAAGAAAGAAAGAAAAAATAAAGAAAAGAAAAAGAAAAAACATATCCCTTCAAATAAAAAAAAAGAAAGAAAGAAAGAAAGAAAGAATAAAGGAAAGAAAAAGAAAGAAAGAAAGAAAGAATAAAGAAAACAGAAGAAAATAAAAGAAAGAAAGAAAAAAGAAAGAAAGAGACAAAAAAAAAAGAACAGCTGAAAGAAAGAAAGAAAGAAAGAAAGAAAGAAAGAAAGAAAGAAAGAAAAGAAAAAGAAAGAAAGAAAAGAAGGAAAGAAAGAAAAAAAAATTAATACCGTGAAAAGAGAAAAATAAAAAAGAAAGAAAGAAAGAAGAAAAGAAAAAGAGAGAAAGAAATACAGTGAAGAATGAAAAAAAGAAAAAAGAATGGCGTTGAAACAAAGAAAGAAAGAAAGAAAGAAAGAAATATAGTGGAGAGAGAAAAATTTAAAAGAAAGAAAGAACAGCGTTGAAAGAAAGAAAGAAAGAAAGGAAGAAAGAAAGAAAGAGTGAAATAGAGAAAGAGAGGGAGAGAGAAAAATTTTAAGGAAAAGTTTTAATAGATTGAATAAAAAAATAGGGGAAAGGAAATACAAATGTCGGCGGGAATTTTGGCATTGTGAAGTGGGTGCGCGTGTCTGAGTGTATAATTTCTTGAAAAAATCGTAATGTAATAAAAGCGACGCCAACGAAGGAAAAGAAATAAATTGGCCGCGGTTGGTGGTGGGTGGAAGGAAACTATAGTCGAACTATAGATTGGGGGATACGGAGGCATATCAATTTCTAGGGCTTCTAAACATCTCGATGACAAAAGAACCAATGGAAAGTGCACTCCGTCATCTTTTGACAAAAATCAGCTGTGGCAGTCGTAAACAACGTCTGAAGGAAACGATTGCATCGAGAAAAGGTCATAGCCATCCGCAAAACACCAGTTGGCACGCTGAGACACAAGCAGAGACACGCACAGGAATAGACGATTATAAATTAGTATTCATATAAAAAGGTATATATATATATATATATATATATATATATATATATATGTGTGTGTTTGTGTGTGCATGTATATAAAAAAAAAATTTTGCAGCTTTGTCATTTAGAAGTTGTTTACTGCATATAATTGAAAAGCAAACACGTACACACACACATATATGTCATTATATAACTATACATATTGTAACTATATATATATATATATATATATATATAATGTTTTCTGTTCACACTTTATTTTATAGATACAATTTATTTAAGTAAATGATCTGATTTTTTTTTAAATAAGCAGTATTAATCTACCGGTCTGAATTCGTAGAAAATATGCGTTCTCCAAGAGGAATCGAACCTGTATTCCTGTACGAAAACCGTCATTTGACCCGATGTGCTGTACCATTTAGCTACAGAGAAGCGTCTGCTTAGCAAAGTTCAAATTACTGTTTATAAACACACAATCTTCACCGATTTTTCTCGATCTATCGCATCTGCTCACGAAACGTACCTTAACGTAAACAATGACAACACACACATATATATTCAAACATGTTTCATTGGGTAATATGATATATTATGTTTATTTATTTGTATAATAATCCTTTCTAGTTCTGCGTCCTGGGTATGACGATAAATTACATCCGTGTCCTGGGTAAGACGATAAACTACATCCAACAGCAAGGCCTCTGATCAAGAGGTTTTCAGGAGCGTGGAACCGCCTCTTAATTGCTGGTGTTCCCAGGTCCAACTTGACCCAGGGTGGTAGCACCTGTTAGGGGTTCCAGCTATGGGCAAATAGTTAACACCCAAACTTTAATACCAGAAATACTTTGTAATAATAATAAAAATTTTAATACCAGAAATACTTTGTAAAAAATTGTTACCAGAAATAAATTTTTGAAGAAAAAAGAATATTACCAGCTATACGTTTTTGAGGAAAAAAATATTAACAGAAATAGATTTTTGACAAAAGAAAAATATTACCAGAAAAAAAAATTGTCGTCATTAAATGACCCATTGAGGTTGATATGCCGTAAACCAAACCAAACCAAACCTTTCTAGTTCTGTAATGAGTTTCTTGATGTTAAGATGAAATTCATCGAAGAAGGTGGCGTAGTTTGTTTTTTTTTTTTCTACCCAAGTACTTTCGATCTCTTCTGAGATCATCCTCCGGTGAATTACAAAGATAAATTTTAAATTTTATAATAATTATAACAGATCGCGTTCACGCGTAGTTTTAAAAAGTTACCATCACAAGAATCACAGTTACAATAAGTTTGTCTTTGTAATTCACTCTTAGTGTAAAAGAACTTACCGTAAAACAACAACAACAAAAAAGAAAGAAAACAAAGGTAAACTCTTCTCACTAAATCAAATATTTAACGATTTTTAAAACTGGGCCAAGAAATACATTAAAATTGATTTTCCTGAAATATTATTTCAAGAATCTCGGGTGGCACCCGATGGAACTGATGGATAGGCCAAATGATGGATTTTATCCGATACAGTTGTGCCTGTGGCTAAAAAAAAGCAGCAAGGAGGCGGAAATATGTTTATATGGGCTGATTATTATTAGTGCTAATTATTGTGATTTTTTGGACAAGACTTTATGAATGGTGCAAGTCTTAGCCACAGAGTTTCAACGTGAAATGTCTATTTATCAACGACAATGCCCCTTCTCATATATCTAAGGTTACCCACGAATTTTTTGAGCATGAGTCGGTGGTTAAAAATGAGAAGGTCTAGTCACTCTAGCGGACGGATGTGCTGCCGGGTAGCTGGCCATTTTTATGTACGTATATATGTATGTATGTTTTCTTTCTATTTTAACGTCTTTGTCTTTCTATCTATCTATAGTCCTTTCTGCATATCCCTGGCATATAAATTACTCTAAGTAATTTGTACGCATTATTTATCATCTCTCAGTTGCATCTCTGTCCTTGGACAGAGTGTGCTCAGGGGCTTCTCTGTCAAAGGACAGAGGGGCAACTAAGGAAAATTATACTGAAGAGGTGCCCAGCCCTGGGGAACAGCTGCCCGAGGCCGCGCCCTCCCATTGCACAAAAGGGAGGGATCGGTGCTCGCACCGAGGCCACCTCAGCCGACGGTTGCGAGGGCTGAGGTGAATTTTTGTTCCTTCCCGGGTGCACGGTCGGCTCCCCACATTAATCCGACCTTGTGTCACATCTCATTCTCGTGGGGGAATGAATAAACACCGCATATCCCTGGCAATTCGCATCCATCAAACAATTAATAAGAAAAACAACATAAGATGTGCAATGGTTGACCAATTTCTTTTATCTATTCTTTTGTTGTCACTACATGTGGCATTTTATGGCCGTCGGTGGCGGAAAAGACTCCTTGCATGAACCTTTGATCAAAATACACCAGACCGTTTACTAACATCGCTCTTCTGTCTCCGTTTTTTTAATTTAGAGTCATGTTGTCGCAAGCAATATATATATATATATATATACACACACACACACACACATATATATATATATATGTTAAGAAATGGACAAGGTCCGACAATTTATTTATTAAAGACATTTTTATTTATGTTTAACGTTGTTATTTTATCGATACAAGTATTTAAGCAAATGCTCTGTTTATGATAAACAGTATTAAATAACATTTACCGGCCTGAATGTCCGAGAAATTTTCATAGAAAATATTCGTTCTTTGACAGGATTCGAACCTGCATCCTATACGGAACCGTCATATACGCTGACGTGCCTTAACCACTCGATGTACGAGATTCATGGAAGATTGTAGTTTATAACAGTAAATTCGACCTTGTCTACCATAAGGTTCATGGTGGCCGAGTGGTCAAGGCACGCCAGCGTATATGGCGGTTCCGTATAGGATGCAGGTTCGAATCCTGTCTATGAACGAATATTTTCTATGAAAATTTCGACATTCAGGCCGGTAAATGTTATTTAATACTGTTTATCATAAACAGAGCATTTGCTTAAATACTTGTATCTATAAAATAACAACGTTAAACATAAAAAATGTCTTTAATATATATATATATATATATATATGTATGTATGTATGTATATATGAAGAAAGGAATTAGCAAGTGAAAGTAAGAGGAGAGAAAGCAACAAATGCAGAAATAGGGAGAGAAAGAGAGAGAGGTGCAGATAACGATAGGCGGGAGAGAGGGAAAGAAACAGACAGAGTGTAGGGAGGAGATTCTGTTGTTTTAACTCTATATGCTTGATTGCTTTGGTGTGTTGTCTGTTTCCGGCTGACGCGCATGCGTGATTTACAGGAGAGAAGGTAATGAAATGGCCATCATTAAGCCCTGATCTGAATCCAATCGAAAATCCATGGCCAATTGTGAAAATTAAATTGTAAGAAAATGGCAAACAATATGACAGCAGACCGATGAGAAGATAATTAAAACTAACATGTCGGATATTAAACCAGCTGAAGTAAAGAGTTTAACAAAAGCAATGGATGACAGAAGAATGGTCGCTATATTAAGATATACTTTCTTCAAAGATTTATCATATATGTTTGTTATTTATTCTATTGCTGAAGTTATTAGTGATTTTCTGGTTTTCCTTGAGAAGTTCAGACTACAATTTTTGGATTAAATCCAGTAACCTTAATAAAACATGCTGAAA